ACATTTAGTTGAGCAAAAAAACTAAATATAAGCTAACAACACCTGCTGAAGCTCAATCATCAAAAACTGAATTTGACAATTTACATATTAATTCAAATGTTTTCGAACAATTATTACCTGTTCTACTAAAAGAACCTCAACCAATTGAATTGGTAAGTAGATGCTAGAATTCTTCGGCATCATTCCATAGGATTTATTAAATAACTGAATTAACCCTGTAAAAGGGTTTGTTACATGAGACAAAAATGAAGATTAAATTATGGTTTTTTTTTCCCGTAAACAGTGTAACATATTGTACACCTTCAATCCTTCTGCTATTATGAATAAACATTGCTAGTGTGTGGTAACTTAAAGAAGCAAAAATAAAAACATGTTGTTTACAAAATAAAACGTTCTATTGTGTTTAGCATTTTAATTCCGCAAGGGAGAAAATTTAGTTATTAACGATAAAACAAAAATCTTGTAGAAAACAATCGAAATTTTGTAAAACAATATCTAAAATATAGGAGTAAAAATTGGTGGTATCGCGAATAAATTGGGCATAGAAACAGTTGGCACTCAAATCTCAGGGACCATTTTCGAAACGATACCGATTAAAAGTTTTATATAATAAGTATTCTGGGACTCTCGAAATCGACTAACTGACCATTCTGAAATGAGCTGATATAGATGATTTTAACCATACTGAAACGATTGGTGGCGTTTGTTTTATTTTTTCAAAGCAACATGGAAAAAAACCAGACCGAAATTTCAAAATGACGCAGAAACGATGTATTTTCATAATATCGATTTGATTACTACATGTTGCTTTAAAGAATAAAACAAACATCACTACTCGTTTCAATATGATCAAAATCAAATATATATACTAGCGAAAAATGCTATATCATTTTCTATCAGTATCAATGCACTCGAGATATCTTGCATGACCTTTAATGTCCTCTCTTTTGGAGATTCATTAGTGATCTTTAATTCACCAATGCTTCGTCTATTCTGTTGTTTACGGAAAAAAAAGAATAAAATCTTACTATAAAAAATTGTCACAGCAAAAATATTGAAGTGATTGTTACTCGATAATTTTCACATAAACTTTTAGAACATATGAATCATGAAGTGAGACCATCTTACTTATATCTATTCCGAAAAATAGATAGAATAAAACAATCTTCCTGTGATTAGTAACAGAATGACTTTTAATTATTTGTTTTTTATTTCAAGAAACACAATTTGATTATTTGAAATAGTTTAATTTAATAAAAATATTTATTTTATTTTATTTTTTTCTAGAATTGAATTCTTATACAATTTATAAAATATTCGAGATTCATAACAATACACGAATATTTAAAAATCTTTTTCAAAATATAATAAACTATACTAAACACAAAAAAAAATTAGTTGAATTTATAAATAGATTTATTTCAGATAAAAACTGTCAAGAAAATGCAACAACATACAGAAAAACCTCTAAAAAACAATGGTAGACCATCAGCAAAAAATAATCGAAAAGCGTTTGATAGTAAAACGGAAATAATAACTACCGATGATTTCGATAAAAAACATCATCATCATCATCATCGTCATCATCACCGTCATGGACATAGTTCTCATCATCACCGTCATGGACATAGTTCTCATCATCACCGTCATGGTTCTCATCACCGGCATGATTCTCACCACCAGCACCACCATCATCATCGTCCTCATCATCATCATCATCGCCATCGTCGTTATTCATATTCTCCATATTCTGAATATTCAGATTATTCACATGATTTTCATCGAGATTATCATCATAATCAATCAGTTAAATTACCACGAATTATAACACCACGACCACTAAAAATTATAACACCTACACCATCAAAAATCAATACATCAATCTATCGTGATATTGGTATTAATACAGGAAATGAAACAAAAATAATGCGAGATTCAAGTGTAACAGTTGATTTCGTTGATGTACCAAGTAAATTTTTATATTTAGTTTTTTTTTTCTTTTGTTTATTATTAAAATCTTTTTTTTTTGTTTAGATATTGCTGATAAACGTCTTGAACAAATTCCTGTTGTTCGTCGTACAATTATTGTTGAACCTTATCCAGCACAACCAAGTTCACAAATTATTGTTAAACCACGTACAGATATGATTGGAAAAGTACGTTTAGGAAAAAATATTAAACTTAATGGTAATGATGAAACAATTGTTTATCCATCAACGTCATTTACAACAAAAAAAATAAAGAAAAAGAAAACAAATATGATTAATAATAATATTATTGATGATTTACATTTAGATGATATTAGCGATGATGATGATGATGATGATAAGAAGAAGAATGGAAGTAGTAAAACAAAAATATTTAAAAACATAACAAGACAAAAAATAAAAAATGCTTTTTATAATTAAAATATTTATTATGTAAAGTTTAAAGACTATGTTTTTTTTTGTATAATAATAAGAATATTTTTATAAAAATTTTTTTCGTGAATATTTCTTCATTAGAATAGAAAGATTATATATGTACTGATTAAATAGAGAAATATGAATTTTGATTCGATTTAAACCGACTTCTATAAGTCATGTAAGTAATCTTAATTCTAAAGAGTCGTTCACTTTAGTTTTTATATATTTTTATGATGCATTGATCAATACAGAAATGAGAGATGTCCAACTCTACATCTTTGACTCTAAAACACTACATTTATAGTCTTAAGGATAAAATTAGACAAAACTGAACAACAGAGATTAAACGACAGATTTTTGTAGATCTATCTATTCTGAAGGTTTCAAAAATTTTCATCAAGCCATTTTCGAGAAAGTTCGAAAAGGAAATAAAGACAGCCCCTTAGACTCAACTTAAATGCTACAATCTATTAAAACTCCATAGACAATATATAGAATGATTACATAAGTATATTTATTTTGAGCTGATAATTGAGATGCTGTCAGAAATAGTTTATTATTAATCTAATTTTCGATAGCATCTCAATGTCAATTCGAATTATGTGCTAGTTCAGATGAATTTGCTTTGCTTCATAGGAAATGAAAATTTGTCAATGATGAAAATATACACTTTAGTAAATATCTTGAACTTTCGGAGAGTTTTCTCATTATATAATGGTAAAGATTTCATCGACAACAATTGATAATGAAAAGATAAAACTATCTAATGACAACTTACAAACAATAAATCCATTTCTTTATTGTATTCAATTAAAACAGAGAAAATTCATAAAAGACACACATTTAAATTCAAAATGAAAAATTATCAAATGAGATCCGATTATACGGGTAAAAATTTGGATCCCCAACAGATGCGACAGACATAATCACGAGACCAAAGTCTGCTGCAGGATTAGTATGATAGTTGTCTTTTACTTACTGCAATTAATATCTTTCATTATCATAAACTGAAACACATATTAATTAATCCTCTCTCTTACAATATCAGCAGCTCTATCATGTTTCACATTTTAATCTCACAGGGATTGCAATAACAGGTTTTTTTTTCATAATGAATATACAAAAACATTGATCTCCAATCATTCATTTATTAAGATATCATCTAGATAAATTGACTGATCAGAAAAAAAAATTATGACTTTCTGTATGTAACAATTTGATTTTTTGGTGATTGTAAATAAACAGATTGTCTCGATTGGCCAATTTCATTATTTTCAATTTCTCTTGTTGTTAGACCAGGTGCTGTTTGATATAAAATTGTTTTTTTAGGAATAGAATTAATCTTAGATGGTGTTGGTGTTATCAAATCAGTACGAATAGGTTTACGAATTGATATATTACTTTTTTGATTTCGTGATGGTAATCGAAATAATTCTGTTTCATATCGATCTGGTGATAGTGGAGGATTAGGTGGAGTTTTAATGGGTGTTGTAGGAGGTTTTTTTGGTGAAGAAGGCGGTTTCGCAATTTCTTTTATTTGTTCAATCGGTAGAAAGGATTGAACGGGTAGAACTGGTTGAATGATTTGAATTGGTGGATTATTAGAATTTTGTGGAACAGGAGATTTAACATAAACAGGAACAGGATAGAGAACAGGTTGAATTAAATTTTGTTCAGGTTCAATTTTATGTCGTTTGATAGTAACACGTACTGGTGATGATGAAGATGTATTATCTGATGATTCTAAATTAGTCGGAAATTTTTGTAATAATGGATCATTAGTACCAGGAACATGTCGACGAATCTTTATTGTCGGTCGTGTGTCACTATTATCACTTTGGTGATGTTGATGCTGACGATGATGATGATGATGATGGTGACGATGAGGATGAGGAGAATAATCATCTATTGAATATGAATCAGTTTCAGAACCAGAGTCAGATGTATATTGTGATGTAGCGCTATCCGTCGTTGAATACATTGAATCTGGAGTATATGGATTACCATCATAATAATAAGGATTTGGTGGAATATAAAAATTGTCCGGTTGTGGTTGTTGTCCTTGATCATTAATGGTAGGAGGATAATTAGCTAAAAAAAAACAAAGAAATTAGTATTAATTAAATTATAAATTCATTCATTATCTCACTTGAATATGGAACAGCCATGTTTCATTTAATGTGTATGTAATATTTTTGTTCGATGTTCTGTTTGTTCTGAAGAATGAAATGAAGTTGTAGGTTGGCATTTTTTTAATGCGTGGGGTAACGTTGTTTTTTCTTTGTCAATAAATTACAGAAGCGACGAAAAAAAAAATGTTTGACTTTCATTTTAATCGATGACATTTTGGAGTAGTTTCAAAACGAAATAAACAATGAAAATTCAAACAAAAAATTGTTGAGCATAAAATAAAACATAACGGAAAAGCAAAAAAAATATGCTCGATCTTTTCTATGTTGAGTCTTAATTAACGAATTATTTTTATTGATTTTAATATAGTGAAATTGACAAAGCGTGTCATCATACTCACCACTCAGAGATGTCTATCGCGGCTGAAAACCTGTCACAATGGTTTTCAAAAAAAAGTGTTTGAAATTTCACTGCTACTCATGCAGTTTCTTAATGTCCTCGAATAAAAAATGCTGTCGCCATGGACATCTCTGCCACAACTTCAACAATACAATCTAAAGCACTTTTCGATCATTTTCAACTAGTGTGTTACACAGGTACGATTTTTCGCGCCCGGATCCAAACCGAAGTTAATCAACATCCGGCAGATAGTTTTGCCCATAAATAACAACAAAAGAAAAAAAGATCATCTCAAATTCCACAAAAAGATAAGTGAGTCAAGATTTACTTGACGTCTTTCTGCTTTTAAAAACTGATAAGTTTGTTTGTTACTGATATACGCTAGAATGAAGTGCAGTGTTGGTGTCAAATGTCATATATCACAATCATACATGTTTATCTTTTTAATATTCAACTACTTTGTCATCATCTGTAGATAAATTTTCATTAAAAACAAATTCTTTTAATAAAACAATATTGCTGTTATGATATATTCTCAAGTGCAATAAATTGTTCATTTTCAAACTTTGCGAACTCATATATATTGCCGAATATGATCTCAAAATCGGATCCATGCTCCAGATTGGGTCGAGTGCCGGACTTCGATCAATCTTGTTTCCTCACAAGTTAATGTTCTCTATTATAAATTTCTTATTAATCGTCATGATTTTTTTTTATTAAATAAAATATGTATATCAATTGAGATTTATTTACAATGTTCCAATATTATCCATTAATAAAGCATCACGAATTTTATTCATTAATAATGGATCATTACATTGAATATCTGTTTGTTTTGAATGAACAATAATTTTTGCTGCATCTTGATTATATTTAATTTCCACAGATCTATTTGATTGTTCATTATCATATTCATTTAAATATTTAATTTCTAAACCAAAAAGACCACTTTTAGATAGATTAATTAAAAATTTATCAATATCAATTTTTCCATATGTAATAAAATTATTTTGTTTGATATTTTCATTATCTATTTCATTTATATCATATACATAATCACACATATCTAAATGTCCATGAATACTTGCAATAGCTAAATTTGATGATGATGATGATGATGATGATGATATTAATTTTGGTTTTATATCTGATTTAATATTTAATTGTCCATTTATAAAATAACGATTTATTGATGGTAATTTAATATTATCATATTTTCTATATGATAATATATTAATTTTATCATTTTTAATAATATCATTAAAATAATTTTCATGTAGAATTAAATTTTTTGGTCGTATTTTATCATTTAATAAAATATTTATTTGTGAAAAATTTAAACGTGTATCAATAGGTATATAAAAACATTTCATATTTATTGGTTGATATGGTTTTAATGCATCAATATATGAATATTGATTATCAATAAATATAATACCATTTGATGATGATGTTTTCATTTTTTCAATGAGCTGTACAATTGGACCAAAACGTAATGATGTATGACCAGTAAATATAATAGATGGTTGTTCAAAATTTATTAATGTTTCTGTATCATCTAAACGATCGGATGATATTGTTATTAAACATTTTGATTTTATTAATTCATTATGTTTAAATGGTGGTGTACCACTAAATGATGCTATTTGTCGTTGTTCAGTAACCCATTCAGACATAGCATTTGATATTGATAAATTTGCATTACTTATAGGTGATATAAAATACATATGAATATTTAATAGATTAGTTTGTTCGAAATAATTTGTTAAAAATTCAAACATATGATAAACAAGACCTGTTGATGAACATGGTATTAAAACACTACCATGATCATTAAGAATATTTCCTATTTTTATTGTTAATTCATTTGCATTTATACTTGCATCAATTGCTGATGAAAGACATAGATTTGATAAAAGTAAATAATCACAATTAATAAATGAATCATAATTAAATTTTGTTGAATATGTATCTAATGTTGTACTTGATGACATATAAATAAGAGATGAATGATTTGATTGTGAAGATGATGTTTCAATTTTAGATGTTTGATTATGATTAACATTAATATCAAGTTGCCAATTACAACTACCTATAAGAATTCAAATTTTATTTAGCAAAAAAAAAAAACTTTTCGAAGTCGCGTGTGATCGGATCCGGAACTAACCGGATGAACTCTAGGGAAGGAATCCTTCCGGAGGTTGTGGTTATTGTGACATGTACTATGTGCATCTGCTCCAAAAAAAATAAATGGTTGCCCTTCTAGAGTTTTAAATCATTCCTACGGAAAATAAAATACTGTTTGATATTATAGTGATCTGCGTATTTTCTTTAATAAGATGTTAAAAGTAGATTTTTTTATCTATTCAAAGAATTACGAAGATAAGAAAAGAAGTTCATAGATTTCAACAATGTAGGTAGGACGACGGAATCGGACCGGAACTAAAACAAGCAACTTGACAAATCTCTAAGAACTAGTACCTATGGATTCTTTGTATCTTGATTTCGATTGAGATTTCATAGTTGTTGGATGTCGTTCTACTTAATATAGTATCGACCATTAAATATTCAGATGCTATTTAATCATCTATCGACAATAACATCAGTACTCATATAATGATCATTACCAAAACTGTTCTTTGATTTGATAACAATACATCAGATTGATCAAATCATTTTTTAAACATTGAATGGTTGAAATCAATGCTTCATTCAAAGTCAAATGTTACAAGTTTAGATCTTATGAATTCTATCTTACGAGAAAAGTCTCTCAACTGATTAGTTGCTTTTTAGTCAGAACTACAGTGTTGTTTCCACTTAATGCCATGATCTAAATTAATTTTCAAATTTCAACTTGAAATTTGGCACACATGCAGATCTTAACAAATGTAAGCGGTATAAAAGATACGCTTGTATTATAGTCGTATCTTAGAAAAGAAACAATGAAAAGGTCTAAAATGTTCATACTAAACTATTTTCATTAAGGTCTATCTGTATGCAAAGTTTCAAGTCGCAATTCTAAAATCAATTTTCCTGATATTACAGAGAGAGATCACAATGCTAAACTACAAAAGATACCATATTGCTGCAATATCTCCACAGCAATAAGGTAAGAACCCGAACTCTAGTTCATTATGGTCGACATGTTGCACAGTCTCGACAAAAGAAAATTAATCCGTAAGGGGAAGAAGAAGAAGAATACTATTGTCTTTCGAATACTTAGCGTTATAAGGTACTGACGCAAAGTTCTTGCGCTACTATCGGACGGTTGATCTGAGGCAAATAGCCAGTAATGACTCGCCCAGGGCCATTTCTTGGTTGATGATATCAAAGTTTGAACACAGGTACGTTATGGATGTGTATCGAATTATGTAGCTACTCATCCATGGCGGCGTCCGCTAGGAGGACTTTCCTTGACAAAACTTATGGTAGTTTAAAAGAACATTAGTTGTTTGATTGCAAAATGTAAAAAAAAAAATCTGTTATCTATTAACATATCTATAAATTATAATTTAGACATAAACGTTCGCTACTCATTTTATTCAACCCACTTCAATAGATTTCTAATAGTTTCAATATTTAACATATTTTTTTTTCTCTTTGATAAATATCAAAATTTCAATAATACCTAAACAATATCCTGAACTAATTGCACTTGCTCGTATTGAACTATATAAATCAATTTGTTCATTAAAATGAACAATTGTTACATGACTTAAACATTTATCAACATATTCCATTGAATAACAAGGCATTAATTTTTGTGCATAAGAAAATAATTTTAATTTTTTATCTTTTTGTTGTTCTTCAATAGCATCAAATATATTTGAATCATATTTCCATTCATTATTTGTTTGTATCATTTTTGATTGTTGTTCAACATATGCAACCATTTCATACATAAGTTGTTGACCAAAACGATATGTTGGTTCTGTTAAATAAATTTGTGCATGTAAATTTTTATATTTTTTAAATAAATATGGTAATCCAAGAAATGTTTCATAATTTGATATAAGTATTATATCAATTAATGAAAAATCATATTGATTTGAATCTAATGTATAAAATTCAATTGGTGAATAAATATATAATTGATTATGTAATAATCGTAATTCATTTATTTGTTGTGGAAGATTATTTTCTTTATTATATGATAATAATTTATATTTTGGTAATGATGAAAATCGATTTAAACAACCTGGTGATGGTATTGGTAAATAATCAAGTAAATGATCAATTGGTAATGGAAAATCCAAAAGTATTGAACGACCATTTATTGTTAATATAAAACATGGTAAATTTGGATCATCTGATAGGCAATAAAGACGCATGATAAATTATCTAAACCATAAGATTATTTATTATAAATTCACGAAAAAGAAAAAAAAAACATTTGGTTTTTTTTTTTGTTCAAATGTTAATTTAATAAGAATAGCAGAAAAAGAGAAAACAAAAGTACGAGATCTGTGATTTTTATTTTGTCATATGTCAATGGAAATAGTTTAATTTGTTTATGCTTTAACAACTGTAGTTGATAATGTTGTTGAATAGAGTGTTGTAGTTTTATTGGAATTTGTAAGATCACTACGAATTTGTTGAGTTAGAACTATAAAATATGATCATGATCATTATAAATATATTTAAATAAAAAATAATTTACTTTTGGATTGTGTTTCTTGAAAAAGAACCATTGTAACTTTCGGTAAATTTGCATCAATAGGTTCATTATTTAATGCATGAGCAACAGCTATAAATATTGAAAAAATATATAAATGAATAATAGATTTTTATTAAATATACTTTCAGCCATTGTATGATAAGCAAAATGAAGATAAAGTAAAAAGAACATATGAGTTATTGTAATAACAAGACCAAGAAAAATACGATAACGTGAATTAAGTGTTCGAGACATTATAATTAATGTCTATTTATATAGCAAAAAAAAAATTAATGAATAAATTATTTAGAGTATTCTTTATTAACAAGTTATTGAAAAGTTACTCAACAAGAATCTACAGAAATAGGAAAACATTCAGTTAATACTTCTGGTTTAAGAGTTATAAACAGACTTTTTCAAAGCACATAAATTAAAATTGAACGAGCTTCAAAACTTATTCAAAATAGAAATAAAAATTATTTCAAATAAAGCAAACGAAAGATCAAAGATTTCTCTATAAAATGGCATACTCATAATTTCATTTGTCAATAATAAGAGATATCGTGTTAGTTTCCTCGATTTCCATAGAAAATAGACTTGCAAAGTGAGCTCGAGCCATTCATAAATGATTGTTATATCATTTTGTAGAGGAAAATATCACCTTTAATTCTATACAAAAGAATCGATAATATAATCTATGCGGTAAAAGAGCCTATTGTTTCAAAGAGAAACGTCAATTTTCTTCATGTCTCTAAAAAGTCGACTCATAACCAGTGGTGGATCTAGGATTCTGGGAAAGTGGACGATCATGGTCATAAAACGTGTTTTGGAGTCGATTAGAAGTCGTATCGGATGATTTTTGGTTGCTTTCTGCAGAGAAAAAATTGAAAAATATTTTGGAAGAGACAGGTGATCGTCTTCAATGCCTTCACCCAGTGCTCATAACTTCTAAACCAGAAGTCCTAGAGAAAATCGAACCTATATTTGGAAGTAGTACAGCCTTTTGATTTAAATCAGTGTTTTATCCAGATTTTCTCTTTGAAACTATAAAAGGATGAACACCTTTTAAGAATTACAAACTCCAAGATGACCAACTCGATCTTCGAAGGAGCACCGTTCCCTCAGTATACACGTTGGATAAAACAAGTGTCATTTTGGCTGTTACCCTCAATCTAATAACTTCTATTGACAATATCATATATAACAGGATTTAACGCAAAATAAATCCTTGATGCTGCTGACACAAATACTACTAGACTTCGACTATGATCTATTTGTCAATTATTATATAGAACAAAAATTTCGTACCATTCGAAGTCCAGCTATACCACCAACAATTGCCCAAAGACCATAAAATAAAAGATGATCATAACCCGTATGAATAAATGTAGCAAGAAATAAAACAATACAATGACTAAAAAGAGCATAACCCTTAACAGAAAAAAAAAACATATTTATATATATATATATTCAATATCAACATGATTTTTTTTTGACTAACATTAATACTAAGAACTTGCATAAGACTAAGTTGTGTATTAAAAACAAATGAAAAAGATGATATAGCAAAACTTGAACCAATCCAATAACCAAAACAAACAAGAAAACTTGTACCAATTAACGTACCATCTTGCTATAATAAAATTTAAAGAAATAAAAAAATATCAATAATTTATATATTGAGTTCTATTGCATACAACGGAATGGCTTGATAATTTCATTTGATAAATAAGAATAGCTGCTAATGTAAATACAATCATTGATGGGCCATATAATTCAGGTTTAATATTCTAAATTTAAAATAATAATAATAATAATAATTTTTAGAAATTATATCACACTTCTTCTCGAAATGATCGTCGTGGAATTAATGAACGAATTAATCTAAATTGATCAATTATCAAAAATATAAAACATATATATATATATATGAAAAATTTCGTTTACCGTTGAACAACTTCTCTTGGTTCAACATCAAAATATGGACGGAGATAATCAAGATTAGCATAGAGATTAATTGCTTGTTGTGCACGAGAACGTCCTGCAGCCCAAACCTAAAAATAAAATTTATTCTCATCAATTAAAAATAAATAAATATAAATACTTACAATAGATCCTACAGTTGGTACTCCACTTTCTAATGATGTTGAGTGTTGATTATTATTACTAACCATTGTTTTATTGTTGCAATATTTCTTATATCACAATTAATATTGATATTGATTTCAAAATTGGACTGATTGGTAGAGTAGAAGGTCTTATTAAAAAAGTGACATCTTATATAAATATGTAAAATTCGATTGAAGAAATATTTTCACCAATGAATAGTTACTTGACAATTTTCTGACATGAGAGAAGAGTTTTTATTTTTTTTTATTTTTAAATATGACAACTATAGGAAAAAAACGATATTATCCAATAAGTAATGAATCTGATGATAATGATAATAAAGATATTTCAAATTTAAATTTTCAATCATTAAATAAACATCATAGTTCAACTACAATTGATTTTCTATCTCCTCGTTTGATTGTTAGTGAACGGCAACAATTAGCTATACTTAAACAATTAACAGCTAGTAATGATAAATCAAATAGTAGGTGAATGGAAAAATTTGAAATAAAAATTTTAGTTTTTATTTAAAATAAAACAAAAAATAGTTGTTCTACAATCATCATCTTCAATAATTTCACAACAACATTCAACAAAAATTCATCGACGTAATGAACATGGTGAAACTATTCTTCATATAGCTGCAAGAAAAGGAGATTTAAAACAATTAAAAAAAGAATTAAAAGATGGTGCAAATGTTAATGAAGAAGATAATGCTGGTAAGAAAAAGAAAATTGATTGATCAATTTATTTGTAATAATTTTGTTGTATTATAGGATGGACACCATTACATGAAGGTAATCAATTCATTTTTGGATTGTGTAAAACCACATATACAGAAAGATTTGAAATGTCGAGTTCATCGAAGATGACCTTAATTTTAAAAATAGGAATGTTTCTTTTGTTTTGAAAGAAATCGGAATAAAGTTGCAAAAGACAAGAGTGTCAAATTTGATAGTTTCGGATAGCACATTGAAAGGTGATGCTTCGCAGACGTTATACTAAACTAGTGGGTTTACTTTGTTAATGTATTAATATGATCAAATGATATTGATTTCATTTATTTAGTCATTAGATGTTTAAGATCGAAATTCTTTTAATAAATTTTTGCAAAACATATATTCGACATTTTCATCATGTGATTCGTAATAAAGTTTGAACTCTATAGTGAAAATGTTAGATATTCTCTATTCTTATGAGAAGCTTTTGTGTCTGTGAAATGTCAGTTATTCGGTCATTTCATCGCTTTTTTATATAGAACATCTTATGAATCTTTCTCTCTCACTTTTGTTCTCTTATGTTCCACAAATCTCAATTTATACACATATAATTTAATCGTACATAACACAGCATGAGGATGAAGGTGGCATGTAAAAAATGAAGATGTATCTCCATGGAATGGATAAATACAGAATCTAGCCAGAAAACGGTAACTGAATGTTGACATTTATCTTTTTGATTGATTGAAATGTTAGGGAAAAACTAAAAGAATATCCATTTTGAAGTAGTGGAAACTTCAATAAACGGAAGACTCAGAATAAACAACACCTATATGAATTATGATGGATTTCTAAGCAACTATTACTTGCTCTCGTAAAATGCTTCCTGCACAATTAGAAAAGTTTGCTAAACATTTTTATTCATACTCATACCTAATGTTCATTGTTCTTGAATAGACTGTTAGTTATTTTCCTGTAAGATTAATAAAATTTTTTGAAACTTTTAGTTTCCTACGAAAGAATCACCTGAGATGAGACCCTAATCATTATGTAGGGCCTGTTGAGATTAGAAGAAATCTAGAAAGATTTTTCCTCATGACATTAGCTCCAAAAATGTAGTGTATGAAGAAGAAGAAGAATTCTTCTAAATTTCTTCTAGTCTCGACAGATTCTACGTAATGACTGAGATCTCATCTCAAACGCCGAGGTATCACCTTAGGCGGTTTCCTCATTGGCGGATTTGATAACTATGTACTAATATTCTCGTAATCTCATAAGGACTTGATTGACAGATACATTGTTAAGAATTTTAGTTATATTTAATATTGTTTATGTAATAAATCCAGTAAACAATTCTATCAATTAAACTTACAAAAGTCTATCACCATACAGAGTGTTTCTCATAGGTCTTAGAACGCGACAAAAATTCATTTATATGGACACACAGAATAGTCTCTAACTGTTATGTTTCTATAGTATTTTATTCGATGCTCATTACGAGCCACTAGTCACACTATGTTGAGTCAAGTCATATGCTCAGTAAATGATCTGAAATAGATAAAATGATATGAACACATCACATGTGCAATGAAAATCAGCATGTTGTATGCAAAACGAAAAAATGTTCGTTTTACCGACAATGTTCATATTTTTTTTCTTATTCAAAAAAGCTTATTAAGAATATACTCTGATTGATCATTTCAGCAGTGGCTTTCGCTTGAGCACGAATAAATCATCAAAAAGTAGTACATGCCGATTTCTATTACTTTTCTAATTCAGTTTGATCAGACTGGTCCCTTTTCCACTTGATATTTGTTTCGACATTTTTAATATTGCTTTTCGATATTATGTATTGATTGCCTCTACGTTATTTCTTATATAAATATGTTCAACACTTTTTAGTAGAAAATCTTTTGAAAAAATCGTATTAGTCGATTTCAAAAGATTTATTATTACATTATTATGTTCATATTTTTATTATTATACGGAAAGATGTAATTAAATAATATATCATTTGAAAGGCCGTCACGAAAGCTGATATAGAAACATAATGGTTAGAGATTTTCTGTGTGACATATAAACAAATATTGTCATGCCCGAAAACTTATGAAACATCCTTTAATCAGATTGATTGTCAATCTAATATTCATCTATTTACTAGTTTATTCTAATTATTAATGAATATAACATCCCGAAGTTCAAACATTTCCCGTAAGTGACATGTTGTAGGAATAATAATTTTTTCTTTCATATGAATTACGTTATAAGTTCTTCCAGGCGTTAAAATTTCATATAAGGAAAATATTATTTTCTCTATAATATTTTTAGTATATACAAAAAAGTGTTGCCAACAGAGCAAAAGGATAAAATACTCTAAGGATTTCAAGCCATTAATCTTTTGATTAATTAAAACATATCATTTGACTTTGTACTCATCATGACCTTTCTGGTATGGGTCATCAATAGTCATGTTTTTTTGATAACATACATAATCTTAATTAAATATTTAGTTTTAGCTTCAAAAATTCTAAAAAAAAATAATTTAGTATAAATAATATATTTATAGATAATATTCATTCTAATCCATAAGGAAAAATTATCATTGATCTTAATCACTTAAGTCAGTATGGTTTATATAAGACTTATATAAACAAAATTTCTTAAATAGTACTTTATCTTTTTCAGAATTGTTCCGAAAGGAGAGGAGGAGGAGGAGTAATCCTTCCAATTTTGAGAAATTTACTCTTCCAAAATCCGATTAATTTTTTAAAAAATCTTTCAATTGAGCCCTCTGATACATTCAAATCAATTCTGATCGACTAAATGTATATTTTCATATTTCTATAAATACTTCTAATTTGATTAGAGTACGCCGAGTCAGTTCCAGGTCTGAAACTGACTCGTTGAACTCTACTCTAAAATTAAGATTCACAATTGCTTGAGAAATATGTAGAGTGTTCTGAGTGTCGAATACAAATTACATTTCGAGTTCGAAACAGTTTAATAAATTGAGACTAGATCGAAATGCTGTTAGCGCAATCCGTGCAGAATTATTTAGTTTATTTAAATGACAGGATATTCTTATAAATGCCTTAATTGAATGTCTATGGGATTTATAAACATTATAAAACCTTCGGATAAACTTTATTACGTAGTAAATAGTAATTAAATGAAAGATTTATCAATTAGATTTCATTCAAATGTAATTAGAATGATTGCAAGCTAATGAGAATAATTAAAAAAAATAAAATGATTATATTTGATTTAAACTAATTCATCAAACTTGATAAGTTTCATATTTTAATAGATTAATTATGATTATATTTGAGTTTTGAATTAAAATCTTCTTAAAAATTGAAATTTTTGAAAAATCTCATTCAAATCAGATGATTTTTGACTTTAATCTATTTTTTAGCAGTAACTAAAAATAAATTCAAAGCTGCTCATTTTCTATTAAAATCTGGTGCTAATTCTAATGCATTTGGACCTGAAGGACAAACACCACTTATCGATGCTGTTCTTAACAATAATATTAAAGTATATCTCATTTCTATTTATAATTTAAAAAAAAAAAACAACATTATTAACTTTCCCATAGATGGTCGGATTATTATTAAACTATTCAGCTGATCCATCTATCATTGATTTAACGCATGTAAATGAACCAATATTAAAAAATATATTAAAAGGAGAAATACCAACGTTAGATTCATTAGAAAATGAAAATGATGATGAATCGATAAGTCGTTCATCATCAATATCAAGTAGTGATGAATCAGAACATGATATAGAAAAGATTGATAAAGTAATAAAAAAAATTTATTTTATTTTTTTTTTTTAAATTTTTTACAATTATTCTTTTCCTTAGCATTCATCAAATAATAAAATTTCTACAATAGATAAAAATTTATCTAGAAAAACTTCATATGATTTTGAAAGTGATGATAATAATGAAACAATAAAAAATCATAAACAACAATCAAATAGTGCTTCAATATCTGATGATGAACATATACATCATATATCACCATTTCAAATTATTTCAACTCGAATTGAATTACAAAACATTACAGATACTGAAAGGTAAATAACAATAAATTCGAATACGGACTTCTTTAGTTGAATTTCCTGCATGTAATCATATTATCATAAGTGATATACTATTGTGTTTTTTTTTCGAATAGACAGTTAAGTGTAAATAGCTTTCTTTTTTTTTTTAAACAAAAATATTTGATTTGAATATTTTCCATGAAAATCCTATGAACAAAAAAACAAGATTCTTTCATTTTACATTAACTTATGGTAGAATAGATAAACAGAAAATTTACAGTACTGATTTTTGAAGTCAAATTTTGTCCTTATGAAAAGTTCAGCTTTTGATTATTATTAATATTTTTATTTTGATTAAAAATTCAATTTTCAATTGTTATTTAAAATCTACTATAGAAGTCAATATAACAAATTTTATATTTTCCATAGAATAATTTTATTTAAAATACCTTATAACTTAATCTAACGTTTAATAAAAGTAAAAACCTTCAAGCTAATTAAGCATCAGGTAAGTGAGTAAAATCAAATAATTACTTTATCATATTTTTTATAAAAACTTGAATAAATAATTATTCATAATTTTTCTTTATAATTATCAAAAGTCATGTAGAATAATAAATAAGAGGGAAAAGTAAAAGAGTACGATAAAATATAGAGAAAAAAAAGAAAAGCAGACAACAATCTATAAATAATCATGAAATAGAAATTTTATTAACAATTGCAAGTAATAATCTAATATATTGTTTAGATATATTTATTTCCGTGAGTCATTTTTTATTTTCAATGTATAATTTAAATTTTCAAATGTTTTTTTTTTTCTTTCTTCTTATATTACATATAAAATTAAACGAAAAACAAAAAATAGCTTAGTTTTGAATTAATTATTAATCAACAAAAAAACAAAAACATATGTAGTTTTCTATTTATGATCGAAAGTTTAACAGTTGCAGTTTATCTAAATTACAAATGTTTTTACTATAAATAGAACTTGAAGAATTTTTTACAAACCTATAAATCAAATATTATTATATTTTTAACATCTGCAATTTTTGACAGCTTATTATTTGACATGGCAATACTTTTCTAAATGTTAATTAGTATACAGTTCACATAGTTTACTTAATTTCTAGATCACATGTTTAGAATAACAATTATAAAACATGTTTTTTTTTTTTTTCATTTTCTATAATATCAGAGTTCAAAGTATCAGTGTACTTTTGTCATATGATAGACTTTATTAATATTATATCAATCAATACACAAAGAGATAAGAGGTCATTTAGTATGGAAAAAGTTACTAATGATGTTATTAAATTTATGTGTTGATTACAACATGTGATATATGTTGTCCTTTGAACTGTATTTTATGATAAAGATTCTAAATTTAGATAAACATCAACTCATAGTGAGTTTGTCATTAGCATCATATAAGTAGATCGATGTGCTTTTACTCTTAGGTGAACATTCATTAACCAAATAAAAATATGTTTTTTAATATTCAAAAATATTTATTTTTTATACACAAAAAATAAATAAATAGAAAAATATGGTCAATTTGAAATGAATTGTATGTACGACGCATATAAAACGAAGAAACATAATAAAGATAGACTAGATGAAGAGAGAAAAAGAAAAATTGTGTCAAGTAAGAAAGAAAAAAAAAAAAAGAACGAAGAATAGAGAACAAGCAAAACATGAGAAAAAAAAATGTGTACTTCTCTATTCGACATTAGAGCGATAGAAGAAGTAACTGCTAGTGTAAGATAGATATTATTATGAGAAAAATCACGAATAAGAAAAATATATTAAGTATATAATGATTAGTTGATGTCAATATCGATAATAGTACAAATAGCTGTTTATATCTATGAAATTCTTCGTCCTCAATGACTCGATGAAAGTTCTTTTGATTTTCTTTTATAGTTCTAAATGTGACAATATTAATTCCGTCTTAAAAAAAAGAGATTAATCAATTGAGTTAGATGTATGATTAATAAAATTTAAATTAATCAGATGAATGGTTTTTATTATTATTTTTCTTTATGTTCTACTATTTTTAGCAAAACGTAAAAAAATTTGACGATAAAAAATACAGGTGCATTTGTTAATGACCGAGGACATTCAAGAGAAACGAATGACCTAAATATACAATCAAGTACGTTATGTTTGCGTGCATGTGTTCTTTAGAGCAAGAAAATGACTTTTTTCTTGTTCTCTTCTCTAGTCTTTGTTCGTTAGGCATTTATAGTCCGGAATAGACAGAAGTAGGTAAGTAAATAAAGTTAATGAACTTCTTATAAAGAAAAGTAACAACAGTAACATTCCATATTATCAACTATAAATAAATTCGTTATTTATTTATTTATTTATTTTTTTTTTTTTTTTTGTAGTATTATTTTATCTAATATGAATAGTAATTCTACAATGGAAACTTCAACATTATCAATAATAAGACAAAATGAAAAATTCTTATCAACAATAATTGCATCTCCCGAGTTCAACGACAAGGTGATAAATCTTGATGAAGAACAAGAAAAAAACGACAAAAAACAAGAAGAAAATAATCTTTCGTTAACTGATAAATATAGTTCTTCTCTAGGAAGTCTCGACTATGAAAAATTACAATCATTACAAACGACTATTTCTACAATAGTTGATAATCTTATAACACAAATTGATTCTAATATAAATATGCATACAAATACATCTAAAAAACAAGAATTAATAAAGAAAGAAAAACAAAATGATTTAAAACAAACAAAACGTACATTACGTTCACATGCACGAGAAAAATTAAATTTATCAATATCATATCAAACTTCAAATCATAATCAACGTATATCAAATCGACGACGAGCTTCAGAAAAAAATATATCTTTTGTTACAAATGAAAAATTTCAACGAAAAAAAACTATATCTGAACGTTTAAATAATCAAATAATTGAACATAATCATAGTAAGATGTTTTGTTTTTGAATAATAGTATTTCCTAATTAAATTAAATAGATCATAATATAATAAATGAAGATATAAATATTAATGGTAATGATGGAAATTCTTCAAATAAAATAACAATAAATATTAAACAAATACATAATCATTCAGATATTGATTCATTACCACCAAATAAACGTCGATTACGTGAACGAAATACTGCTATATTAAATTCTCCAGATACATCTACAACAATAAATTCTTCTTCAACAGAAGAAAATATTCCAATAGAATCAACAACACGAAATATGCCAATAAATTGTATCAAAAAATTTCTTGAAATTCGCCAACAGGTTTGATTATTTTTATTTTTTTGTCGTTTCACAAAATTCCAAATATTTACAATTATATTTGAAAATTGAGATACACGACTTTCTGTATTTTATTTTCGAATACAAATTTCGAAAGAAAAGGCCGTATTTTAATTAAAATTTTTTGAAATCATAAGATGAATCTTTAGCTAAATGAGTATAATTGTTAAGACTATCCGTCACTCATCAAAAACTCAATCTTGAGTCAGATACATTTATATCGTATGAAATTTTCAATTGTGTAACACGACGTTCGAAGAACATGCGCAACAAACAAGAGTCAAAAATAGCTCAGTTGGCAACAGGCAATTCTCTGTGTGACTTTATTCTATATAGTTAATTCTTTTTTTCTTTGAAAGAGCATGCCAGGATGCAGGGCATGACAAAGTTTGTTTTTTTAAACTGGTACTTTTTCAAGGTAGAAAAGGAATGAAAAATTCAATCCCTCGAAAGACTCTTAAATAATGACGCTCTTATTATGAAAGTATTCTTTTATATAATAACAACAAAATTTTATTAAAACAAGAGACTTCAATATGTTCTTTCAAGAATTCTGAGATATATAAACTGAGAAAAAAAAAACGAAAAAAAGCTTCTTGCTTATTCTGAACATAGCATTTTTTTCAAGCACTTGATGATAGAAATCATTAACAATCTGAATCTAATCTTTATAATAAAAATAATTTTTAGGTTGTGTGTATGATTGGCTTGCTTCTAAGTCGATATCTTGGAAGGAGTTTTTCTCCCTTAGCTTATTGCTGCGGAGATCCTTTTTAAATGCATGCCGTGGTCCTCTACTCAAAAACACTAGGAAAACTAATTTTTGAATTTTGACTTGAAACTTTGTATAGAGACTAGCCTCATATTAACTAGACCTGTCTCTGTACAAAGTAGTATCTGTGCAGCAATAAGCTATGAGCACGTAATGTATACAGCCTCAATTCGAAAGCGATTTACCAGTTGAAGGACTTACATCATGAGCAAATCTTCCTCCTACCGGTGTACGCATCATAGACGTTATTGATATACGATTACCAATCGTATATTAATAACGTCTCGCTATAATATATGAATTACTTCCTTATTGCATATCTCGAAGAAGATTAAATAAAATAATAGAGAAGAAATGTGTTTCAAAATAGATAGAATAAAATAATCTTTCTATGATTAGCAACAGTAACTACATCGTATTTTATATTTTAATCTTACAAACAGCTTCTTTTTCTAGTTAAATTCTCCTTTGTATAGATTGAAAAACGACATGAAACAATGTTACATGATTTTGTTCAACCAAAAGTTCCAAAAGATTTTGCTGAAACATTAATGGCAAAAAAAAATTATTTAATAGCTCCATCATATAAATCATTTTCAATAACAACACCAGCATCACTTGGTATTAAACGTCTTAATCCACCATTGGATCTTGATTCACATTTATCTGATGTATTTTCTCGACAAGAAGATGAACGATATAGAATGAAATTAAGACATCAAGTCGAACGAGTAAAGTCAAAGAATAAAAATAAAATTTAATTTTCTTTTTTTTTTTTTTTTTTTAATCAAGGATAAATTAATTTTATCTCATGAACAAGAAATTTTACGTTTATATGGAAATGCTACACGTCTATCAATACATCAAGATATACCATTAAGTTATTGTTCATTACTTAAAGATAATGAAGTTTATAATAATCCAATAATACAAGAACGTACATCATCATTTATTAATAATGATTATACAAATACAGAATTAGGTAAACGTGGTAAAAATCGTTGGAATGGACGTTCATTTATTAAATGGCTTGAAGATTCAAATCTTAAATATAAACGTCTTAGTGTAAATATCTTTAAAAATATGTTTTGTTTTGTTTTTTTACTTCATATTATTTTTTGAATTTTTAGTGTGAAATTAATCAACGACAACATCTTGAAGCCAATACACTTTATTCTATGCAACGTATGGTTTGGTTAAAACATTTACCAAAAGAAACATCATCATCAGGACGAATACATACTCTTTTATCTGAACATTATTTACCTAAAGTTGAAATTAATAATAACTTTTGGACACAATGGGAAATAAATCCAATTTAGTTTCTTTTGTATTTATAAATGAAAATTTATTGTTTGTGATATTTGTCTGTAATTTGTATGTAAATCAAAATACTCTTGAGTTTTTTGATGTTGTTTTTATGTGAAATTAAAAAATATATTCTCAATATTAAATGTATTCATTTTGCATCAGAAATATAAGATTTATCTTAGATTGATTCATCTCGTTTATCCAATTTGAAATATTATTACTATTCCCATGGATTTTTCAGTTACCCGAGGATCAAACTTATCAGTTTTTTTCGAGATTACTCATAGACTTTTTATTGAATAAAAATGTTGTTACATAGTGTGATGTTTTGTGCCGAGGAGACATTCATTTTTGACCCGAGCGTCTTTTTTCTTCACTTGAAATGATCATTTTTGTCGTCGATCGGATACTTGTCTAATTCTCATTCACGAGCATGTAACAGGATCTGGGTGTATGGTGTGGTTGTGGATGTACTATAGTGAACTACATCGGGTTTCGAAACCCGATTCCGACTCCGACTCCGCCGGAGTCGGAATCGCGAATACAAAATTTTTCAGAGTCGGAGTTGGAATAGTAAACAGCGTCGGACTCTGAAAGTCGATTCCGATTCCGAAATCCGATCCTGACTCCAATGGGGTCTGAGTAGGAATTATGGAAAAGGGTTTTTTCTGGGTTAATATCTGAGTTACATGAGTGCAACAATCAAATAGTTCGACTCTTATTTAGAAATAACTTTATTCATGAAATATGTCAAGTGTGGAAGAAGATCTATTATTTCAGTTGATGATGTACTGGCGGTTCGACCAGCATCAAATAAAGTTTTTACTAAATTTTTAAATCCATCACCTCTCATTACATTAAATGCACATGCATCAAGAACGCAAAACTCTGTACAAGCTTTTATAACAGATAATTTAATTTTTCTTGGAATTGGTGATGGTTTTAAAGAAGAATAAAAGTCGTGAAAACTTTTTTGATAAACAAAACTTGATTTCTTTTTCTTTGGACACGATTCAACATGGGTATGTAAATTATTAGTACCATTTAATGATAAATGTAGCAATAGTCCTTTGCACGCATTGTAACACACAAATTGTTGTCGATCATCATTTACAAAAATATAATGAAAAAAATTCCATAATTCACTTGAGTTTAATGTTTTTTCCTCTCAATAAATTTTATTGATGGATCATAATCTTTTATTAATTTTTCAAGTTCTTTTTATGTTAAAACCTTTTTACTCATAATACTGTTTGTTGTTTCAATATAATAATTCAATATAATATTGTTTGTTATTTCAATACACTAATAAGCTACTCATTTCTAACTAATTCACTTATTTTTTTATCCCTTCAAGATATCAAGAATTGATATGAATCACATGTCGCTAGACTACAAAAAAATTTCGGAATTTTTCGGAGTTGGAAACGGAATCGAAAAACAAAATTTTTTCAGGATCGGAGTTGGAATCGCAAACGAAAATGGTTTTTTTTTGGAGTCGTAATCAAAAAAAGCAACTCCCCTTGTTCCTTAGTACCCAGATCGAACATGCACGCTCGTAAACGGTCGTTTACGGAAAAGAACGGAGATATGCGGAGGTCGTGCACGGTTTCGTATACGGAGCGATACGGTGAGAAACGGATTTCGTAAACGGAGATCGTACAAAAATACGGAATGATTCAAAAATAAACATCTGCACTTCGTATACGGTCGTATATCACCGTGCGCGATCGTATCTAGTCATATACGACTACCACAAGCATACAATTCAATGATCAACACGTTTAGTGCAACTCACATATATTTTTCTTCGAAAACTAGTGAGTATAAGTTTAAATGCGAGATTTTCAGGCTCATCTTCCCTCATTACAGGCCTTAGCAGCCGTGGTTGAAGAGCACTAGACGCGAATTCTGCCATAGTAACCAACATATAACAAGCATCAGACTCAGTTTCCATGATTTCTTAGCAACGAGAAGGGTGCTGAATGATGTCAACAAATGCGACTCAGATTATTCTGGAATATTTCAAAGCTTTCCTTGAAATTTAAATGGCTGGGCTATGTTTTTGAATGTTATATATAGCACGGTTTCTGATTTTTGCTCAAATTAACGAGTATATGATACATACCAAAGATGGATGAGGATTGGTGATGTATTAATTTACTACAATCGTCATATGAGTAACACAAAAAGTATTAATTGATCAAATTCGAACTTGAGAGAACCATCAAAACCAGTATTTGATAAGTTTATCAAGGTCCATTATGTATCATGTTCGATTTTCTTATGAATGAATTTCGATAAACGAAATAAGAACAAATTTTGTGGTCGAATACGAACTATTTTCCTTAGAAAGTCTACTTTTCCCATTCATATACTATTAAACTTTCAGAAAAGATGGAAATTTGTGCAGTACTTATATAATTAATAAATACTAGTAAAATCCTTGAAACTTACTGCTTAATAAAAATAATTAATGTGCAAAAAAATTGAATTAGAAATGTTCTGTTGTTTTTA